GGCCTCTGTGTAAGGGTAGTTCGACCCCCAAATGTGTCCGTGATCCACAGGTTGAGAAACGCTGCTATAGATGAATTATGACATTATAGAACAGCCCCACCACGATAGTACAACGAGTGAACCATTAGTGCATCCACTCTGTAGTAGTAAAGCCATATCAACAAAGCACAGCATCACGTTGTATTATGCAAGCTGTTATCTTAAATTCAAGACATTGGTGCTAAAAGTACTGAAGTCACAAAGTACCCCATTTCAAGATAATCAAGTTCAAATATTCTTTTCATCTATAACATGTGATCATTTTTACATTTTTTCTTGTTTATTAAAAGGATTTGGGGACATTTCAATGTGTTCAAATTTCTGCAGTACACTTGGCTAAACGGATAAGAAAAGGTCACAGTTTTTTGGCTTGATTTTGACAAAATGTGACTTAATTACTTTTAGTTAAATGGTCTTCAATCGTGGATGCGTTACTATCAAATTTACGAATTACTGCAACTACTTCCAAAAGATAATTTGTTACTCCGCAAAGTATAAACATTCTCGAAAACAAGTCTCCGTGAAGCTGATCATTGTATTGTCAATTTAACAAGTGAACATGTTAAAATAACGTTTTAGCTGTGCCAGCCATTTGCTTAGCTGTGCCAGCCATTTGGTTAGCTGTGCCAGCCATTCGGTTAGCTGTGCCAGCCATTTGGTTAGCTGTGACAATGAGTTCATCAGTTACCAAAATATAAGCAAAAACCTCTCATTAGCGTTTCTTCTTTCAGTCTTGAGATAAAAGGTAAATCATCTCATAACGTCTCAAAAAAAAATCTCAACATGCCTCTAAACAACATCTCACTATGCCTCTAAGTAGCGTCTCAACATGCTTCTAAACACCATCTCAAAATGCCTCTAATCACCATTTCAACATGCCTCTAAACACCATCTCAAAATGCCTCTAATCACCATTTCAACATGCCTCTAAACACCATCTCAACATGCCTCTAACACCATCTCAACATGCCTCTAAACACCATCTCAACATGCCTCTAAAACACTATCTAAAAATGCCTCTAATCAACATCTCAACACGCCTCTAAACACCATCTCAACATGCCTCTAAACACCATCTCAACATGCCTCTAAACACCATCTCAACACACCTCTAATCAACATCTCAACAGGCCTCTAAACACCATGTCAAGATGCTCCTGAATTTTTCCGCTTCTTGGGAACAATAAAATGGTTGGCTGCTGGTTAGGGAGAGAAATGAGTTATTCCACTTATCAAGTTTTTTCTTACTTCGAAATTTACAATGCAATCCAAAGAATTCAAGCTTGTGAAGATAGTGCGAAGAAGGTCGATTGTTTCGTATCAATGTTTCTTTGTAAGAGAATAAAACCATTTTAGTTGTCTCCTATCGCCAGTTTGTTTTTGTTGTGTTTTCCATGATCGTTATGATACCCGGTAAAAGTAACCAAACGTATTTATTCAAAACTATATGTTAACAAGTTTTTTTAAAAGTGCAATATCAAACTCATGTGATATTTTTAATGACGTTTGTTAATATATATATATATATATATATATATATTACATTTTTTGAATACAGTAAGAACTTTTTTTTTTAAACATACCTAAAATAACATTGTAATTTCTGTCTGTTATGTTAAATTATTATTACTATTATAATTTTTTAAATTACAGTTTTTAATTGGGGAAACAGAAAAAAAAGGAATTTTGTGTCATTCGCACACATTTAAACAAATGACAAGACTGTGTGTTTTATAATGAATTTATCGAATAAACGCCACTTAGATTCTAATTAGAACAGGGTTTCTCAAGCCTTTAAGTCCAGGTGACCGTTGTTTCATACTCGAGATTGCACCACAGCCGAAGACCAGATTTGTATTTATATTTTCTTTTTATTTGACTATAACTATTCACGGCGCACTGACCGCCAAAGTAGGGCGGCGGATATGTACCGGTCAGCGTACAACGGTTTCGGGTAAAGCTGGTCTGAGACATTTAGGTGTGGTGGAAGGATGTTATATTTTTTTAAAGGATGCTAGTTTCTAAACAAAATGTCGGGATCTTCTGATCGCCTCACAACTTCCCACGACATGACATAAACAATAGGTCAGACCCTAAGCTCCTTTGTGCGTTATTATCGTGACCCAGATAATTCATTTCAGCTTAAGCCAAGATAATTTTTTTATTTTTTATTTTCTTCCCCGTCATTAATTTGTGAGTAATTCTAAGTCTTCTCATTAGAATTCCCGGGGAATAGACTGATACCATTTTATATAATATACTATTAACAATGACAGCGCCACTCCGTTAACTTCCCCCCTAACTTTGGGGTCGCGGGACCCTTTTCCAGGGGTCGCCTAAGACCATCAGAAGATATCCTTACAGCTATGAAGTAGCAACGAAAATGATTGTGTGGCTGGGGGTCGCCACGACACGAGAAACTGTATTAAAGGGTCGCGGCACTAGGAAGGTTGAGCACCACTGCTCTACAAGCATCCAAATTAGTGCTAAACCTCGAGAGTTGTATTTTGCGCGTCCGTTGAACACAGGGATACAGTCCTACATACATACTTAGATGATTTTTTTTTTCCTTTGTGCATAACCCCTTACTTAGGATGAGTACCTGTACACCTGTATAGGTGAAACGTAAAAAAACAACTTCGATTCCACAACACAGAGACACCACTTGCGATGGGTCTCATCTTTAATAACTTTTCTTGGCTGCCACACATTAATTAACGGCTGAACTTTTATTTTTTTTTTAATCCTGGGAAAAAGGGTTAGAGGCTTTATGTTCTAATACAAAATGATGAACTTCATTCGTTTCAAAATACTTTTCGCGTCATTGTTTCCCCACACAGTTCTTTAAAAGTACATAGAGACGAAGTAAGGATCTGTGGTAGTGTAGGTTTTATGTGTGGGTTGGGGGGTGGGGGGTTATGGGGATCACATGACCAATGGACATACAGTCATTTCGAGATTCATCATTTTGCTTAGCAACAAAGGATGTATTTAGTACGCAGCCTGTCTATTTGAAATACGCTGGACAATGGTCAATTGTTTGTTTGCTGGTTTTTTTGTTGGTTTTTTTTTGTTTTTTTTTTTTTTTCGTACTTTGAGCCCACGATCAATTTATTGATCATTTTGGACTCTGGTTTTTTTAATTCAGAGTTGGCCTTCTCTTAGATGAGTTGCCTCCCAAGGCTATCGGGCCCATACACTCGGGGTGCTTGGGATCCTCCAGACCACCACTATTTGGAGGGAGTCAGTTTAGACCACTCGGCCACCCAACACCTGTGTGTGTGTGTGTGTGTTTCGTTTAGGGGACCGATGCTCTCAGATGGATTGGCTTCGGTATCCGATGTTTCTTTCTTTCAATGTTTTATGGTAACGGTGAAGATTTGATCAAACCGGTGCAGATATTTATTGATTGAACAGAATGTAACATATGAGTTGACAGAATGTAACATATGAGTTGACAGAATGTAACATATGAGTTGACAGAATGTAACATATGAGTTGATAGAATGTAACATATGAGTTGATAGAATGTAACATATGAGTTGATAGAATGTAACATATGAGTTGATAGAATGTAACATATGAGTTGATAGAATGTAACATATGAGTTGATAGAATGTAACATATGAGTTGATAGAATGTAACATATGAGTTGATAGAATGTAACATATGAGTTAATAGAATGTAACATATGAGTTGATAGAATGTAACATATGAGTTGATTTTAGAAACGTTGATTTTTTTTCACAAACCCCCCCCCCCCCTTTCCACACTTTGAAAAAAAAAGAATTGTTCTTATCTGAATTTTTTCCTGGAGGTTATAATCTGAAAATTAGACTATTACCATTTGGCATTTAGTCCATGTATACATTAAGCTCCTGCATACATTGAGCTCCTGTATACGTTTAGTTCTTGTACGCGTTGAGCTCCTGCATACGTTTAGCTCCTGCTTACGTTGAGCTCATGTGTGATTTGAGCTCATGTATGCTTTGAGATCCTGCATGCGTTGAGCCCATGTAATAATCGTTGAGCTCCTGCATACGTTGAGCTCCTACATGCAATGAAATCCAACGAGTTTTGCCCACAAATTACATTGACGTGCTGAAATGCTGACTTTGTTTTTCCAAAGATAAACAACAAATTTAGCGTTTTACTTTAAAACGTATTTTAAATGTCTTTTATTTTTTTTTTTTCAAATAATGATTACTTTAATAAATTAATTAAAATTAATCCCCTCTCTCCACGACCACGCCACTTTTCTTGAGGTCCCATACATCCACACCTTATTTAATTTAACAAACCCATTTTTTTTTTAATTTAAAAAGGGTGTTTTAAAAAAAAAAAATATTAGACAAGTGCGAAAAGGAGTAAGTTATAGGAAATAAATATTCATACTCCGCTAAAGGAATGCTACGAAAATGTAACCTCTTTTTTTTCCCCTTGTGAATGATAGTGTTACGAGCTAAAAGTAGTACACGACCGTGACATGCGCATCGTCATCCCTTGCTATGTAGGCCACGCCTATATTTAATGCATCACTATCGACATGTTGTCATCTTCTTGTTATAAATTATTTGATACCTTTTTCAACATTTTTTAACATTTGAACTGTTTTGAAGTAGAACACTATTATGATATAGTCTGTGATTGGATAGAATTTCAACCAAATATGTTTACTGTAGATCTATTAATATTCTAGTCTGTGATTGGATAGCATTTATGTGATGAGTTATGCTCTATTTGCAATGAGGCTCCCTTAAGTTCTAATAATAAAATTTACTTGAAGATTTTTCAAAGTCGAAAAAAAAATGTGTTTTGTTTAATTATTTGCAAACATACGCACACAAACTCACGCCTCACACACACACACCATGTGCGCCATTTCAGTTTTTTTTTTTTGTTTTTTTTGGTCAGAGCAAAACCAAAACTTGGTAGGCTTTTTAAGATGTTTATTACTAGACGTTCCACGGTACATAGCAATTTAAATAAAACCAGCAAATTCTAGAGGGGGGGGGTGGTGGGGTCAAATTCCCCACCCTGTCCTAACCAATTGACGTTCCTGACACACACAAACACACACAAACACATACAAACACACATTAAAATGGAGTTTGTAACGAATGCGTTTTATACTAATACTACACTTAGTTGTTGATAACTTTTCAATTCTACAGCCTACGAAAAATGAGTTGGGCTATTTCTAAACGTGAACAAGTAATATGGGGTGGGGCGAGTGGGGGATAATCAGCTACATATAAGTTGTTAATATAAAATTTGTAAACATGAAATTAGAAACAATGTTAAACAATATTCTTCTGGAGGAACAAAAACGAATTATCTTTTTTTTTTCTAAAAAAAAAAACTCCAAGTTTTATAGCAATATACTTGACAGATATACAAAAAGTATCACCGTTTCAAAGTCACTTCACTGAAACATTTGAGTGACCAAACAAACAAAACAATCTAATAAATTGACAAGAATAGTGAAAAGTTTTAAGTTATCATATTGAGTTGAATTATTGACTTGAGACAGGATAGTAAAGGGTGAAGTCATTTTAAGTGTGAGCTAATCATGTTCTAGCAATAATTCACATGTTCATGAAACATCTTCAGAAACATGTCCATAATACGTGTTCATGATACGTGTTCATAATGCATGATCATAATACATGTTCATTTTATATGTTCATAATAAAATCAACATAGGAGACAAAATCATTATTTGAAAGATCATACCCTAAACATATCAAGATTGCAACTTCAACAAAAATTCATCATATAAAAATATAATAATTTCAAATATATATCAAAACGAATGTGCTTCACCCCAGGTACAGTAGTTCACAATGTTAGGATTTGCAGCGGACCATCAATGATTGTAAAACTCTGCTTCATTCATATTTATGAAAATGTTATCCTATACATTTTTTATTTAGAAATGTCGCTATACAGTTTTTTTTAGTCCTTCACTCAGTAAGAGAGACCCAAAAATAAACAAAATTGCACGCTACAGTGAGCATAGAACATCAATTCTGTAAGAAGATTGCTGGAAGTTAGCGAAAAAAAATTAATTATAAATAAAAAGAACGATCTATTCCAAGTGATTTGGAGGCTGAAATGACAGCTTTGTAAGCCAACCGTTACGTTTGCCCCAAACCATGTTACTGACAGCCACAGGACTCCACAATCATGTCTTTATATCTCTTCAACACAACGCTGGACTTTTCATCAAAGTACAGCAGAGCCAAGCTGCCGTATTCCCTGGGGGCGCAACAGGGTGACGGCGCCATCCCCGGATTGATGGTGTGCACCAGTATCTGCATGATGGCGTGGTTGGTGGAGTTGGAGTCGGCGTGGAGTGGGTACTGGCACGCCCCCGAGCAGAAAAATGCTGAGTAACCTTCCGGCCTGATCAAAAATTGCGTGTCGAAACCGATTTTCCTGAAATCGAGGTAGAAGTTGTGACGCCGGCATTTTCCTTGTGACTTGAAAGAATCGAAGGCGTGTGGTGAATACGCTGGATACATGGTGGTTTCGGAGAAAGTGGTATCGCTCTTGTTGAGAATCGATCTCTTCCGCCTGGAGAGCCGCTCGTTGTAAGCTTTCATGTAGACGACGAAAAATGTCTGCTTGTCCGCTGGACCTTTCGTTCCGACGATACCGATATCTTTGGGGTCGACCGTGTGCCCGTGCTCGTCCGTGACCTCCAGGTAGAGGCCCATATTTAGCATTGGAAATAATGACCAGTGTTCGGCGCATTGCTGGGCGTCGATGATGATCCAGCCCGTCCTGCTCCCATGGACGTCTAGGCGGGCTTCCTGCCGAATGGTCTTATCCCCTTCCGAATCACTTTGTTCAATGGTGTACAGGTTCAGCGTGTACAGCCGAGACGACGGTCCGGGGCTGCTCTCCTTGTACAGCCTGATTTCGGCGGATCTCACGCGCTGGTTCACGGACACCTCGCTCAGATCGAAGTAAAACACGCGCCCGTGCTGATGACGCCGGAAGCGTACCTTCCGCGGGTTGTTGACCAAACTGACGATCGTATCAGAGTCCTCCAGCTTGGCCGAGTCCAGCTCGATGTGCGAAGAGTTCACGTGAAATCTACCTCGCGTCGATGAGGCGTTCGGTCCGTTGCTGCTGGTATCCAACACCGTTAGACTTTCGTACAGCTCCTTCATGAACTTGGACGCCGATTGGACAGTTTTCTCGTTCAACCTCACCTTGGGCTTCTTTGACAGCCCCATCAGCTGAAGGATATCTTGATGGAGCACATCCCTCTGTCTATTGTCTGCTTTTCCCATGGGCACGGATTGCTGTCGGTCGTCGTCGGTGTAAAACGAGAATGTGTCGACAGATGGGGATGACATCAAGAACAGTAGAAGACAAAATCGGATGGATATTTCTGGCAAGGCTGACATTCTTTGAACAACTCCTGGTCAGTGCAAAGATAAATTCATGAAGACAGCTGATGATATTCTTGGTTATTTGTTTTAGACCTTCCTTACTTTTTTATGTATCGGGATCAGTTCCTGAAATCACAAATTGTAACAATGTTTAATATCATAGCGGGTATTTTATATTTTATAAATTTTTAGAAATGGTTTATCATTAGATTTCAAAATGGATGCATTGCTAACAGAATTTAGACCACGTCGCTCCTGGCGTGGTCACTCCTAGCTTGGTATAGGTCGGGCACGTTGTCTGTCCACCGCCATGTTCCCAAAATACTCTTACCATTTCATTCCACGTCTTTTTGTTGGCCACGTCTTTTTGTTGGCCACGGCCCCATGATGAGGCGTAACCCATTATGATGAGTAACCCATGATATGAAGTACTCAATGATGTGGAGTAACCCATGATATGTAGTAACCCATGATGTGGAGTAGCCCATGACAGGGGATATCCCATGGCGTGGATTAACCCATGATGCGGAGCAACCCATGATGTGGAGTAACCCTTGATGTGGAGTAACCCATGATGTGGAGTAACCCATAATGTGGAGTAAACCATGATGTGGGGTAGCCCATGATGAGGTGTAACCCATGATGTGGCACAACCCATGATGTGGCACAACCCATGATGTGGAGTAACCCATTATTGAGAGTAACCCATGGCGTGGAATAACCCATCATGAGGAATGGCATTGAACCGAGTAGCAGATATGAAACGGGAAGGTTATGTCATTACATAAAACTGTATCCGTCCATTATTCGGAGATGATTGGTGTCATTTTAAATAAGAACGATACACATCTAAAGTTTCAGTCAGATTGTTTTGATGATAGATATCCGGCTCGCTTGATAGGACCATGAAAAATAATTTACCAATGGGACGCCATCGATGAAATTTGATAAAGCTAACATTCTTAAATTAAGAAAAATTGTATTCATACAAAATTTCAAAATGTAGCCCACAGGGCAAGGGTGTGTCTTGTAGTACATGAAATAATTTTTGTTAGTTTTTTTTGTTATAAACTTTTTGGAATGAAGAGATAACGATAGAAAATAATTGTTATACTCACAGAGTAATTCACTTTGTAACCATAAAATATATATTAGATATAGTTCTTCACAGTCATAGCAGTGTGTCACGCCATGTCTCCTGTCATTAAACTTTCATCAAATGCGTCGCTCCATTGCCCGGCTTCTGTCCGGCCGCAACACATTTCATAATTTTGTTAAAGACACACAGGCAAGTATATCGCAGAGAAATCGACAGCACACATTTGGTGTTGTCAGTCCAGACAAGAAATCTTTTGAAACATCAGCCGCGATGAATGGGAGAACACTCGAATTGCGTCAAGGCAACTCCCGACAATGTTCCAACCCACAGGGCGACTATCAAAATACAACACAGACTGGTGGACTGAGTTCCCCAGTGTTGTGCTCGAATTGCGTCTAAACAACTAACAACAACATTTCAACCCACAGGGCGTAGGCCAAACAGAAAAAACAAAAAACAACACAGACTGACGGACTGAATTTTCCAAGTGTTGCGCCAGTCGACGTTGTGTGATAAGAAAAATAACCACCCCAGGCGCTATCTCAAACACATCTTGAGTGTCATTTCAAAGCGCTTGACCACGTTAGTAGAGTAAAGGTCATGCTACCAGGTGTCATGATGATTTGCTGTGACGAGTGGACACGTGATCACAATGGCAGTTGCGACGACACACGTGTAGTTGACGGTGTGGTAATAAGACAGGAGAGTACAAGAGGGGGACCGGGTGGGGGGGGGACGGACACCTCATTAACACAACACTGAGTTGATGCAATGGTTGGCTGAGAAGATCAGGGGGGGGGGCATTTTTTTTACCCAGCATGATCAAAGTGTTTGAACTCATAGGATTGTATCATAGCAGAGGCGTCACGAGTGGGGGGGGGGGCGAGGGGACACCCTTGCAATTTGGTACCGCTCATTGATTTTAAATATGATAGAGCTCGCTCTATACGATTTCCTAAAAAAATCTAAGATACAAGAGCAGTTTTCTGTTACAACAAGCTGCAATCTAGAGCAGAATGTCACCAGAGCAGGAAGATTTCAAGATGATCCAAAAAATGAAGTCTGAAGTCTTGACATAGTTGTGTTATGCAAATGGTTGTTTTTTTTAAACATTACTAAACAGTAATGTGACTTTCATTTTTAATTTAAACCTTGATGAGTGTTAACTACATTGTTAATAAATGATTTTTTTTTTAAATCACAAAAAGCACGGCTAAGATCATTTTATAGATTAAAAGCAAAAAAAAAAAAAAAAAAAAAAAAAAAAAAAAATAAAAAAAAAAAAAAAAAAAAAAAAAAAAAAAAAAAAAAAAAAAAAAAAAAAAGACTTATAATAATCAACTTACGTGAGATAATTATCTTTGCTAACTATTTCCAAGTTTTACCGTAGTCAAAGAGAGGAGAAAAATATTTTAAGTAGGAAGGTCTATGCATTTTTATGAGTTATCAAAACTGGTCGTTTTTATAAATCGTATGTTAACTGTATCGCTGTGTAAAGAAGACATGAGTTTTTACTAAATCGTAGTAATCTCACAATATTCATTTGATCGAAATCTTTATTTGGAATTTCAACTGCTAGAACTTCTTTTTTAGATAAATTCCAACATCAAGAGGGTTGTAAAGAGGGCGTTTGGGAGACATTAACAAAGGGAAATAATACATTTAAAAAATAATTTGGCTAACTCCCTTGCTAATATTGGCCTGTTACAGTCAACAGCTACAACATTTTATAATTTTTTTTTTTTTTTTTTATACGAGTCGATTAGTGTTTTCTTGTTTGAAACGTTGAGTGGGAGAGGGGAAATTGATGAATACTTTGATGGGAAATACTTGGCCCCTATTGCATGATTAATAAGCAATTTCTGGATGAGATAGAAAGAGTAAGCGAATTTGACGGCTGGTTATGTGCGTTCAACCAAAATAAGTTTATGAGGGAAAAGTGGAGCATACAACAAAACTAACATTATTTTAAAATGAACGCTTTATTTTTAAACAATGACATTTTGCTAGCAGCATTGTTACGTTTCTTTGTAAGGTTTTGAAAATGTAATCCGTTTTAAGATTCGGCTCGTAAGATGAACAATACGTAAAATTGGACTGAAAACTATTATACAAAGAAAAACTAGACCAAAATTAGTGATACTAACAATGTTCAATTTAATTATATGATTAAATTTACTATAAAAATACACTTTCAAATTAACAGAAAAAAAAATAATGTATCAACCTACAGCACAGCAATTGGAAAGGTACAATACTCGAAAAATACAAATATTAATTTACACACAAATAAATAATACATTCTCGCAATTATGTAACGTCTAGTGTATACTAAGGAACATTTGCAAAAAATCTCTCTTGGCTACGAAAGCTGCCGGCCTGCATCTAGTGATTAATTCAGAACCCTTTAGTAAAGTAATTCTAGAAATTATGTCACCCGATAGCATTCTTTAGAAAAAAATAGAACGTAATCGAGCGTATGAAACCTTTTCCCAATCAAGGAAAGGGTGGGCAAAAGGAGTCGCGCAACACATTACTCTGTGACCTCAGGGGTCATCCATTTATTACGTCAACAATTTTTCCGCAATTGTAGACCCCCTCCCCTCTCCTTGCAAACAACTGTCAAACTTTCGATGACCAGCTCTATTTAATTATGTCAAAATTTTATACCCCCCCCCCACACACACACAAAATGAATTATAATATAAATAAATCTATAAATACGCTTTACTTTGTGCTGATGTACGGCATTTTTAATAACTTAAAGTTGTAGGAAAAAAATTATTACATCTTTAGCTTGTCAATCAACAAGTTAAAAAGATTTTGTTACACTTAAATTGTATAATTCAGAGTCAGTTAAAAGTTTGTTAAAGACTAAATATAATTGTTTGTGGGGGTATAAATATGATTATTGTCATTATAGCTGAGAATTATACTAGGCCTATAGTTTCTAGCTGCTATGATCTTCCCATGGAGTAGGCAGTTATTGCGCTATAATAGCAAGAGGGCATCAGGGACATCATTTGTGTTAAGCAGGGAGTCATTTGCCCCCCTCCCCCCCCCCCAATTTTGCTGGTTTACTTAAATTGCTATGTACTGTGGCGCCTCCAATAATAAACAACCCAACGAGCCAAACAAGTTTTGGTTTTGCCCCCCCCCCCCTCCCTTCCTTTGAAAAAAACCTGAAATGACGCCCCTGATGGGCATAGTCTATAGTAGCTGATTTATCATTTTCATCTTGCTTAACTAATATAACAGACAAGTCAACATCATCCTTATATTACTATCTAACTATTCAGCACTTAAAATCGAAGCATTGTCTGTGTGAGCAATAGTTGCCATGAGCTCTCTCTGTCTTTGAGTTGTTATAGTTGTTATTGAACATCAATGAGTTGGTATTTTTTTAAAAATTGAACACCGTGTACCATGACGTGTTAATCATGCTAGGGAGCGGATTAAGAGAAAAATGACAGGTGAAGAGGTGCCAACTTTCATTTACACTCATTAAATTGTTTTAAACACTATAAGAACAAGCCAATTTTTAAGATTAAAATTTTAATGGAAAAAAAAAGATTGTTGACGTCGACTAAGCTTACCCACCCCCCTCCCTCCCCCTTGTCAACAACTGTCAAACATTTGATCCCCCCTCCTCCCATATTGTTGATGCAATTAATGGACGCCCCCCTCAATATCAAAACAAAGGGGAAATAAGTGGGGGGGGGGGCTAAAATTTTGTCAAAACACATGCCATAACAAACAGCCCTTTTTGAAATGGGAAACAATGTCCATGAACCATGTACCCATTTTGTAAAATTGTGTATATTGACACAATTTGTTCGTGTCTTATTAACCCATTTTGTATTGCTCTAGAAATAACCACCCAATGGTGGCGGCAATGGGCGAATTTCCCACCGACTAAAGTTACCCGTTGAAAAGGAAATTCTATTTACGCAGTTTATAAAAATTCAAATTAGTGCTAGCGTCTGGGAAATTTTATTTTGTGTCTTTTGAAAAAATCATTACAGCAATAAATCATATCTAGAGAATTGCTTTTCGTGATGTGCTCAACTTAAAATGATCATTCGCAGACAAAAGTGTTACCTTTAGACGAGTTGCGTAGCGAAGAAACTGTGTCAATATAACAATATTAGTTACGCTTTAATAATAATTATACATAATACACAAGTAAACGTTTCGGCACATGCCTTCATCGGTACAAAAAAAAAACACATTTAAATAGGTATAAATTAAATTTACATAATATAAAAATACCGAAACGTTTACTATTAATCTATTCTAAAGCTTTATTGCAGTCCAACACTTTTTATAATTGCGTAGCGAAACATTATGCAACCCGGGGCAGAATTTGAATTTGCCGCCCTTTCCCCTCCGAACACATTACATATAAATAATTATATTGCTTTTCCCTACAGTGAAACCTGGAAATAACGACCCTGAAATAGCGATTTCCCTAGGATATGCGCTAACCTGCCATGGAAATGAATCTTTTCCTTTTTTTTTACCGTAACGTTTTTAATGCCACCTCTTTCGCTTTTTTTCGAAGTGTTAATTATTTCAAGGTGTTACTGTATATACAAACGTGCTAGTACGTCACAATGATCGGTTTTAGGGATGGGGAGATGAGAGGGACATCTGAAGGGGGGTTGATTGAGTCCCTGTCCCCGAAAGTTCATGACCAATTCAATATTTGAGGATTCATTTGTGAGCATACCGGTATTCACTTTATCATTGTCATCTTACTAAATGTTGGATCCTTTAGTCCAAACGTCTTCATGGCTCTACGTTTTCCCCTATTAACTTCTTCACGCATTCACGTCTTCAACTCTTCACGTCTTGACGACTTCACGTATTCACCTCTTTACGTACTGACGTTTTCACGCCTTCACGTATTCACGTCTTAAAGTTTTAATATCTTTACGTTTTCCATCTTCACTTCCTTAAATATTCATGTATATACTTCTTCACCCCTTCACGTCTTCACGTATTTACGTCTTCATGAATTCACGTTTTCACCTATTCACGTCTTCATTTCTACTAGTATTTGCGTCTAATGTTTTCATGACGGTACGCCTTTACGACTTCATGTCTTCAAGCCTTCACGTAATCACGTCTTCAAGCCTTCACGTCTCTACGTCGTATACACGTATTCACATCTTCACGTATTTACGTTTTCACGTCTTAAAGGATTCACGTTTTCTTTTTTCCGCTTTCACTTATTCACGTGTTTACGTCTTCAGGTATTGACGTCTTTGAGTCTTAACGTTTTCACGTCTTTGCGTTTTCACGTTTTCATTGGTTCATATCTTCACGTCTAACACTTTTTAATGTTTCACGTCTAAAGACTTCATGTCTTTACGTTTTCACGTCTTCACTTCTTCACGTTTCCTGTCTTTACGTCTTATCGTATACACTTGTTCACGTTTATACGTCTTAACATCTATACGCCTTCACTTTTTCACGTTTTCACGTATTCATATATTTAGGTATTTTCGTTTTCACGTCTTAAAATCTACAAATTTTATGTTTAACGCCGCAAGTCTTCACATCTTCACGTCTTGAGGGTACCTGTCTTTACGTCTTCACGTATTCAAGTATTCACGTCTTTAAATTTTCACATGTTCATTTATCTACGTATTAACGTATTCATGTCTTCACGTCTTCACGTCTTTAAGTCTCCACGGTTTCAAGTATTCACTTCTTCACAAGTTAGGTTGTAACTTATTCATGTATCCACGTCTTCAGGTTTTCACGTATCAACTATTCATGTCTTTAGGTCAAAGTCTTAAAGTCTTCACGTATTCACGTCTTTATAAGTTTTTAAATCTTTACGTTTCCCGTCTTCATGACTTCACGTCATCAAGTCTTCACGTATTCACGCCTTTACCTTTTTACGTCATAACCATTTTATTTGGGGAATCAAATCCCAAGGAGTGGCACATTAAAAAAATACACGCCCACCTTTATAGAGAAAAAAATGTCGCCAGGGGCAAACCGTACGCACGCCCCCCCCCCCCCCTTTTTTCCTACCCCCCCTTTTTATTTGGGGAAACAAAACCCAAAGGATGGCCCATTAAAAAAAAAACCCCCCCCCTTTTTAAGAAAAAAAATGTCGCCCGGGGCAAACCCGTACCCCGCCCCCCCCCCCCCTTTGTTCCTACACCCTCGCTTTAGCCCGCTATACTGGCCCCAATATTTCAATTCGTGCACCATCACTATTACTGCATACGTTTATGACCGTGGTTTATAAACCTTGTTGAGCTGGTGCCTGGTGAATAAGTAACCACATTAACTGGACTGAGCAAATAACTTCATGAATCTATGTCAACAACGTCATAATGCGTCTATGTCAATAACGTCATGTGTCTATGTTGACCTGTTTGGGTCAATAGTTGGGTTTCACCCTTCCCGTGGTTTTTGATGATCCCGTGAAAATGGGGATAAATTCTTCATTATCTTGGGATTACGCTCGCAATCCCCGGGATAAAATTTGTTTTAAAAAACATAAAATTTTAAACTGAAATAAACTTCAATAGATTTGATTTTTTTTTTTCTGTTTTCATTGCTATTAATCTGTCAATGAATAGCAACAGTTTTAAAGTCGGTCGAGAGGTTGGTCACTTGCTTACTAGTTGCTTCACTACTCCCTCTCACTGGTTATCCCTATTATAATGGTTGATAACTAGCTGATCGAATGCTTGTTAAGTAACATTTGGATATAACCGCCTGGAGAAAAAAACCTCCACAATGACGCATTCTTTGCAGGTCGCTTATTTCAGTTCCACATCCATCACTAAATACTTACGTGCAAATGTTTCTAACTACTTGTAAAAATGGGTCCGTTTAAAAAAAAAAAAGAAAGAAATTAGGTATGTTAAAACGTGTATCTATATATGTGCATTTCTTTCTATGTATATATGTATGTATTACTCTCTCTCTCTCTCTCTCTCTCTCTCTCTATCTCTTTGTATATGTATATATATATATATATATATATATATATTATATATATATATATATATATATATATATATATATAATATATATATATATATATATATATATATATATAAATATATGTATGTCTTACTATGCTGATCTGTATATGTCTTACTATGTTGGTTTTGGAAATAAAACATTTCTATTTTAACACTACACGACTGACTTATCAAACTTAACATAAAACTTGTAATTGCTTCCTTTCTCCCACGTGGGCGTTCGAATTGTTAGGAACATGAACAAGAAACTAGTTCAGTTAAGTTTATGTGATCAAGTGAATGCTGAACACAATGTCAGACTTGAAAATGTGGCCGTACGACTTTGACTATACTCTGCGCATTTGCATTAGTTCTAGAATTAATTAATTTGTTTGAATATTCAATTCTGTATGAGGAAACAAATTTACCTTAATTTAACCCTGAAGAATGCATCAATAATGCATATTAATCACGTGATTTTTTGTTCGAAAATGATTTTCGTCTTGATAAGTAGCCTTGACTTTAAATGTGTATTTCTGTTTAAGGTGAGAGACAGTTGCTCAATTTGTAAGCCTCACTCTCTCGTCCTTGACTATTTAATTCAGTGGCAAGACTTAGTCAAGAAGACTGGAAATAGACTAGGCTGCAGTAGATGACCATTAGTGTGTCATGTGTGCTTCACTGTTTACGTTTACAACGTCGCCGTAGTCGTAGTAATTCCCACTGTGTCAATGCCATACAGCTTACGGTACTCATCTCCGGGTTGCATTTCAAGGTTTGCCTTGTCATAGAGAAGTTGCCATGGTTAGCGAGTCCCATCCACTCACGCTGCTGTTGATTTTTTTTTGCTTCTCTTGGCGTTTTCTTAGGATTGATCTCCAGTTCACTAGCTCGGGATGGACTCAGTTTAGACCACTCGGCCCCAATAATTAATGTTTACATCGATGCACTAAGTCAAATAAATGTCTCAGTAATTTTTTTGTAAACTTTCGAAAACACTATCTTAATTGAATCCTTACGCCAAAATATAAATATTTTCTACATTGCCTACGAGTATTGCACTCTAAGTATTTCAATGTAGTAAAAATACAATTTAAAAATATATATGAGAAAATGCGTTTATCACCTCTGACGTTGTCCAATGACAATGGAGACTTTCTGGGAGACTTAACAAGATGCACGCAATGATATTCCGAGATGAACTGTTCCATTATGTTATAGAGTAATTTACACTGAGAGCTAAGCAGTTGCTACAATATGCGTTGACTAGGGTTTATGAACCCGTGGAGTGGACGTGCGATGAAGAAGTGAAACATTCAGACGACTAAGCAAATAACCAAAGGACGTGTCAATGATGACGTCTTTGGCGAGGTACGTCATAATCTAATGGGATTTGATTATGAAATACAGTCACGATATAGTGGGATTTGGTTGTGATATACGATACATCTGTGGGATTTGGTTGTGATATACAGTACAGCTGTGGAATTTGTTTGTGATACACTGTACATCTGTTGGATTTGGTTTCGATATACAGTACTTATAAGGTTGCTATTCTATGTTGTTGTTTTTTTCATGGATTTGTTAACGTATTAAAGTAAAACACTTTAACTATTTTTTTCCCTCCAATATTAAGAAGTAAAATATCATGAGATTTTATACAAAATTTCTATTGCTCCTTTTTTTCAATTGTGTGATTTTTAAGAATTTGATAGAAAATGGAACATTGGAAGCAAGACATAGCAGAAATTAAATTACTATACGTCAATCAACATTCAGAGCAAGCCTCGATAGCAGGCTGCAGGTTTAGACCAAGAGCAAGACCTCGCTCGCTGGCGTGACTGTGTTAAGGACACCCACAAAGTCCACAACATGAAGCCCCAGCGGATCGCACACCTTGTAATGGCTCGTTTACTGTACTTTCCAGCAACGAACAAATGGGGGTTGTTTTTTTTAAGTGGGTCGGGGGGCGGGGATATCCCAAACCGCATATTTTGAAAGAAATGAAACCCTTGCGTTTGTACAAGTTTTATATAAACATTACTAGTGTTGTTGTTTTTTGTTTTTGGTGTGGGTGGGGGGGGGGGGGGGTGGTGGGGGGGGCCAAAACACAATCGTAAATTCACTGGTTGAAATATGACATTTGAGCTTATGTCATTTTTGGGGGGCGGGGATATCCCAAACCGCATATTTTGAAAGAAATGAAACCCTTGCGTTTGTACAAGTTTTATATAAACATTACTAGTGTTGTTGTTTTTTGTTTTTGGTGTGGGTGGGGGGGGGGTGGGTGGTGGGGGTGGCCAAAACACAATCGTAAATTCACTGGTTGAAATATGACATTTGAGCTTATGTCATTTTAAAATGACAGTATGACAGTATTTTATATGTATCCTTAATAAGTTTTGTTGCAGTGTGCTGTGAGCAGCATATTATTCGCTTGTTTGTCACAGAGGACAGTTTTCTTGGATATGTGATAATTCAATAGCTAGCAATAGAAATCGGTTTAAATAACGCATTGTTACAGTTAGTGGACGCCGTGGTCAATGTTTATTTTTCCATCGAGCCTATTTTTATTCTGTCAATGTCAATACAGTTTTCGGGCTAAAGTTTGTAGACACGTGTAAAACGTATACCCCCACTTTGAGGCGGTCCTGTTTTTCTTGTCTTTTTTTTTCTGTCCTGAATTCAAACAAGACCTCCCTATAAATAAGCTTACAGCATTGATGCATCGCTGAGCTGAGATTGAAAACAGGTATGTTGATAGCAGCTAGCAGGTTACTTTGTGAAGTTGTAAAATTGTCAGACACTAATATCAATATACGATTTATAAGTTTGGACAAGAGTGAACAAATACAAAAGACAAATTCGCCCAAGTCATTCCATCTTTCTAATGTCAACACATTGCTGAGTTGCAAACTTTAAATTTGTGTCACAAAATTTTGATCCAACAGGATGGAAATCAACGTTTTAAAATTTAGTCGGAAACCTAACACAGAGATTATCCATGTCGTTTGAGCGATGTAGCGATGACCAAAAACCACTTTGATCATGGACTTTTTTTAAAACTAAGAGTTATACTTTACTGTGTATTATTTATTTTAACAGACCAAAATGTTGGCATTCCTAGCGACTTTGATCTTGGCGTTTCTATGGGGACAGTGTAAGTTTTTATAGTTTCTATTTTTTTTTACATAATCAGATGTATAATCGTTATATGTAGCCGGATTAGACTTCCATAACGTAAGAGAATTGATGTACAGACAGTACGAGGCATACGGCATGCACTGAATGATACACAATTAAATCTTGTCGTGTTTAAGGAAAATCCTGCACTGCATCTTTCTCTCTGTTGCAAGATTGGAAATATAAAACAGACGGGTAGTGTTCTGCCTACTGGAAGCCAGCTGGCCAGCTCTGCTCTGAGATATATATATATATATATATATATATATATATATATATATATATATGTGTGTATATATTTGTTTAAGGAAAATCCTGCACTGCATCTTTCTCTCTGTTGCAAGATTGGAAATATAAAACAGACGGGTAGTGTTCTGCCTACTGGAAGCGAGCTGGCCAGCTCTGCTCTGAGATATATATATATATATATATATATATATATATATATATATCTATGTGTGTATATATCCATCTTTCAGTTTGTATTTTTAAAAGTGATTGGCTAACCCAAATAATGTCATTACAGTTGGTTGACCATTGTAACAACCCTAACCCGTTACTAAGACAACATTTTAATGTTTGAAATCAATTCACCAGCTTTAAGAGGATTAATTTTTTTATAACATCTCCCAGCGTACGCCTCGGTTTACAAGTGTGAGACGTTCTTGTACGTTGAGAACAAGAACCTCTCGGTACTGTGTCAGTTCAGTGGAGTCGATCCGGGAGTGAGAAACTGTCAGCTGTACTGGAAACGTAAGGTAAGTGTGTCTACGCCAGACTTAATGTAATTGTCTACACCAGACTTAGTGTGTCTATACCAGAATTAATGTGTCTATACCAGACTTAGTGTGTCTATACCAGACTTAGTGTGTCTATACCAGAATTAATGTGTCTATAACAGAGTTAGTGTGTCTATACCAGACTTTATGTGTCTATACCAGACTTAGTGTGTCTATACCAGAATTAATGTGTCTATACCAGACTTAATGTAAGTGTATTTAAACCAGACCTATAATGCGAGTGCCTGCACCAGAATTAATGTGTCTATACCAGACTTAGTGTGTCTATACCAGACTTAGTGTGTCTATACCAGACTTAATGTGTCTATACCAGACTTAGTGTGTCTATACCAGAATTAATGTGTCTATTCCAGACTTAATTTGTCTACACCAGACTCAATGTGTCTATACCAGTCTCAATGTGTCTATACCAGACTTAGTTTGTCTACACTAGACTTAAAGGTCAATGTTGACATATGGACACGGTGAGCGTCCAATCAGGTCACACTTTATTACACCCACTCGTCCGATTATTATTATTATTTTTTTTTTTGGTTTACCCACCGTTCAAATTGTAATAGCTCGATACGTCACGTGGTCCACTTTTTTACCATAGGCCTTGGCTTCTTTTGTATCTGTGTGTTCTTGTTGTTGTTGAAAATCTAGATCCATTATTTCCCTGTACTTTAGTTTTATCATCCAAATTTTGTAGCTGTTTGAGCATGTGGCCATCAACATCATTATCTTCATCATCAGATCTTAAATAGCTGCAATGGCTTGATTAAAACCAGAATCAAAGGATAAGGGTTATTTCCAATTGTAAAAAAAAATAGATTCTTGTATTAATATTTTTGACGGATAAAATTTAGATAAAAGTGTGTTTTTGTGTGTGTGTATTTTTTTTAACTTTCTGTGGTTGTAATAATAAATGCATGAGATACCTAGCCGGTAGGGGAAAGGGGTGGGGGGGGGATCCTCCCATAGTTGCTAGTGCTTTTGGAAACTTGAGAGATAGAAAGGTGCGCACTTTTGAGAGTTCGTCATTTCATTAACAACAATAGTTTTGTCTACTGATGGCACGCGTAGGCCGCACTTAAATGACATCACCCTTAGGTGTAAGCGATGAGCTGCACCAGGCAGGGGAGTAGCTGAAGTTTGTGCCGCCCGGGGGCGTTACATTGATAGTGACGTCACTCACGAATACCTCAAGAAACAAAGAATCCACACCCCCACTATTACATGTGCAATAATTTGTAAAATCAAGGGATCAAGCCTTCTGCCACCATTATGTACCACCCTATGCGGAACACTCCCTCCGCCCCCAGTCTTCCAGCCCCCGTGCCTCCATGGCCTACTTCTAACCACGTCACTTGTTGATTCAAAATACCTATGCAGATGTGGGTCCCCTTGTCATTGCTGTGACCAGGGGCTTGTTTCCCGTCTATGCGCAAGTTTCAAATGGAACACCAGACTAGCTCTCGCGTTTTTGTTTGACCCTGTTATTTTCTTAATGCCGCTACACTTACTCCAGTACTAAAGCTCTATAAAACCACTAAAGATGATAAATTATGAAAAAATTAAATGAACGACCTGAAACATAAAATTGCAATAGGCCTTTCCGTGCTACATACATAACAAGTAATCGGCGGCTGATTAGGGTAAACCAATTAATCGGTAATCGGCCAATTTGCAAATGACAAATGTGCAACACTAGTAAAAAGAACAGAGACCTTTGTCTAGAACATAATTTAGGAACAAAAGCTTAAGAACTTTTATGAAACAAAAACCAGTAAGCATTTCCCAAAGTCCCAAAAAAGGAAAAAAAAAAGAACATATACACATCACAGAAAAAACGTAAACATCTGAACATACGATAAGAGAATGGTCTATCTATCTTTTTTTATTATTGTATCCTACAGGACCAGAGCACTCTCCTGACTGGAACTCGCGTGACCACCGTGCCGGACAGCCCTGCCAAGTTCAATGTCTTCTGCTCCGTCAATCTCACCGTGTCGTCTCTCGGCCAGGGATCCCACGAGTTCTCGGCAGTGCTCTCACCGCGTACTGGTGTGCAAGCTCGCACCCAGCCTGTCCAGGTTGAATTTTGTAGGTCATGATATTGGGTCGTGTTCATTTGGGGGATGGTGGAATGAGTGAGCTAAGATATAAATATGTTATAGAAAAATATATTTAAATCAACAAAAAAGAACAACCTGATTTGACTATTAAAATAAAAAATAGGATTAGATTCTAATTAAATTCTTGGATCAATGTACCAGGCGGAGTGTACCAGGTGCAATGTACTATTCATGAAGTCCCAAGGGAAATATACCAAGGTTCATGTCTCAGATGCAATGTACTAAGTGTGGCATATCTGAATTGATTAATGAGGTGTAACGTACCAGGCACAAAAATACCCAGTGAATAAAAATAACCAAGGTTTATGTATCAGATGACGTGTACCATTTCTACCGTACAATGTGTGGACCACGTGGTGCAATATGTTCAATAGAAACAGTGGAACAAGTTGACCCTAATATCAATAAGTCACGAGTTCATCAACTTAGTCATGTGGCTTGTTGTTGTTGTTTTGTTTTTTTACAGCATTGCCAGAGGTCAGTCTGAATCGTGACTGTTACTTCCCTTGGTCAAGGGTCGATAACTGTCTTCTGGAGCCTTTGGGTTATTGCACATGTGACCTAACTAAGGCGGGCTACCCTGCAGGGCGTGCCGAGTGGTTCCTCGAGGGGGCGTTAACCAATCAGGAGAGATCTGACAGCTCATCCAGACTGGTTGTAAGGAACCCAAAAACTAACACCCGTAAGTTCAACAAAGTATGTGTCGCAATTTAAGCGTTGTCGCTCAAAGTTTGTCTTGGGGGTTAAGTCACTCTGTTGATCCTCGATTCCACAAGATCGTAAGCCCTGGACTCGTGAATTTTTTTTTTCTAAACCCCCGGTCTGGTTACATTGGGTCCCGACCTACTTGCGTTCGCCTAATATCCGCATTTTTCCCCCTTATTATTTTTACCTTCTTCATTTTAGACATTAGTTCCCGAATAGTTCTTATCTAGAATAAACAATTGTTTCAGAAGCTTTTTCTGGGTTGTTCAATTCCACGATGTTAGGAACGGCCTTACATTGTGGACGAATACATGTTTTATTAGAAACATTAAGAAAATAAAGTAAGCAGCTATAATAAAATTTACAACTTCCAGTTATGACTTTGATGACTTTGAAATATGTGTATGATTTTTGCGTAGCCAAGTTCCTTCCCGTTATAATTATCACGCCGAAACAACAGCAGATTGATTAGCGCAATCAACAGCAGAGGGATTAGCGTAATCAACAGCAGAGGGATTAGCGTAATCAAAAGCAGAGGGATTAGCGTAATCAAAAGCAGAGGAATTAGAGTAATCAAAAGCAGAGGGATTAGCTTAATCAACAGCAGAGGGATTAGCGTAATCTAAGCAGAGGGATTAGAGTAATCAAAAGCAGAGGGATTAGCTTAATCAACAGCAGAGGGATTAGCGTAATCAACAGCAGAGGGATTAGCGTAATCAACAGCAGAGGGATTAGCGTAAACAACAGCAGAGGGATTAGTGTAATCAACAGCAGAGGGATTAGCGTAAACAACAGCAGAGGGATTAGCGTAATCAACAGCAGAGGGATTAGAGTAAACAACAGCAGAGGGATTAGAGAAAACTACAGCAGATATTGATTAGCGTCTAATGTCAATGGAACATGGACCACTGTGTTATGAGGTATTGAAATGATCTCATGAAAGAAATATGATTGTTCTCTTTCATTTCGCTTTCATTTACACGCTGAGCGAAATTATTTTACATCACGACGGAAGATTTTTCAACCATATTTAACACACACACACACACACACACACACACACACACACACACACACACATATATATATATATATATATATATATATATATATATATATATCTTACATTAACGCCTGTACTCAGCACTAAATATGATTATTTAAGATAATCTATCATGGCTAGCAGTAACGTATTAATTAAGCTACGTATAAAAATTCATTTTTTTCCCAATCATTTAAATTCTTTATCATTGCATTCTGTCGATGCAGCAGTGAGACTCCAGAAGTTCGTGTGTATTGGTACGTCTGCACTTGGAACACAACAAACAAGAGCGGAGTTCGAAGTCAAATTTCCTTGTAAGTTGATATAGCTTGTAAGACGCTATTGGTCGTAAGTTGATATGGGTCGTAAGTTGAAATGGGTTGTAAGTTGATATAGCTTGTAAGTTATTGTAGCCTGCAAGTTAATATGGCTAGCATGTTAATGTAGCTCTTTAGTTGATAATATTTTTTTTTTAAACGGGGAANGAACGTTCGCTGTCCTCTCGAATTCCTCTTTTCAGCTAAGCACAATTTTATTTTATTTCTTTTTTTACTGTTGTTTGTTCGCTGACGAAGGCTTCCATGCCGAGACGTTCGTTGTTTTGGGTGCTTTTTTTTTTTTCTTCAGTTTTTCCCCCATAATTTGTTTCACTCATTTCCTCTTATGTCAATGTAGCTTCTAATTTGATATAGCTGAATGGTTAATTTAGATGACAAGTAGATTTAGCTTGTGGGATCGCCTGCAATTTTAGAACATTGAAAACTAAAAAATTGAATTTAAAAATCAATTTATATTATAACATTTTGGCGTTGGAACAATGAGATGATATTGAGGAGGTAATATCTACAAATTGGAACAATGAGATGATGTTGATGGGGTGATATCTATAAATTGTAACAATCGGATGATGGTGGGGAGGTAATATCTATAAATTGGAACAATGAAATGATGGTGGGGAGGTAATATCTATAAATTGAAACAATGAGATGATGGTGGGGAGGTAATATCTATAAATTGGAACAATGAGATGATGGTGGGGAGGTAATATCTTTAAACTGGAACAATGAGATGATTGTGGGCAGGAAATCTCCATAACTTGTTGGAACAATGACATGATCGTGCGGAGGTAATCTCCATAACTTGTTGGAACAATCAGGTGATGGTGGGGAGGTAATCTCCATAACTTGTTGGAACAATCAGGTGATGGTGGGGAGGTAATCTCCATAACTTGTTGGAACAATCAGGTGATGTGAGGAGGTAATCTCCATAACTTGTTGCAAAAATGAAATGGTAGTGGGGAGATAATCTCCATAGTTTTAAACCATAAGTGACAAAACACAAATTACATTAATGTTTATTTTTTTTTTATTGTTTTTTTTTTTACAAACCAACAAATTTGTAATTATTTTTAAAAAATATTATTGAATTTTTAATCATCCTACAGTTGGTCCGACCGCCATGAGCCTTAGACAAGCCAATAGAAAAGGCGACAACAAGTTCGACCTCTGCCCCGTAATACACAAATTACATTAATGTTTATTTTTTTTTTATTGTTTTTTTTTTTACAAACCAACAAATTTGTAATTATTTTTAAAAAATATTATTGAATGTATAATCATCCTACAGTTGGTCCGACCGCCATGAGCCTTAGACAAGCCAATAGAAACGGCGACAACAAGTTCGACCTCTGCCCCGGAAAATCAGAAGAGCTAAATATAGAATGTGACGTCCCGGTGGCGGATGTTTTCCCGGCGCCGTGGTTTCACTTCCGGGTCAACGACACGATCCCCACCTACAACTTGTATGCCGGAGAAGTGGTGGGCAGCGTTCACAGGTTTCAAAAGAGCGTCCGGCCTGTGTCTGGGGGCACCCTCAATGTGCAGTGCCAGCCTCTCAACAGCTGTAGTAAAAGACAAGTGCAGGACACAATCTCCATTCAAGTTCGGGGTAGGGCCGTAAGAAATTAGCAGTTGATGTTGGTGGTGGGTTTTTGTTGTTTGGGAGCTTTTCTGGTGTAAAGAGGTACCGGTAGCAAGTGTGAGCATAAGGGGGTGGGGGGTGCTGAAAAAAAAAAGCCTTTGATATAGAATACGATAGCGACCCCCTTCAAACTGCTCTATTTGGATACTGATTGACCATACTTTCAGCGATATGTTGCAGATGGGGAAACAATCGATACGGTACTTAAACAACCCCTCCTAACCCCCTTCCAATGCCAATGCCTTATTTCATGGCCATAATATTTATTAGTCTTTTGACAAGACATTAAACTGCATGTTTTTTTTTGGTTTTTTTTTTTTTTGGCATTGGTCCGTCGAGGACCCACCAAAATCGGATAACTTTAAATGTGTCAAAGGTCGGTGAAATAAATTATTTGACTTCATGCACTAAGCGGAGCGCAAGAAAAAGTTTAGCTACGGCCTGTATGATGTCCAGCAAAGATAGACAACGAAACCAATCTACGACTTTGAACTCAATGTGGTTTAAGTGATCTGTATCCACTTTGTTCTAGGAAAAATGATACCGTTACAGAAATATTGAACACTGTTTTAGAACACAATATTTGAACATAATATTTTTAGCAAAATATTTTTAACGCAATGTTTGAAAACCATGTTAAAATAGACTATTTGAACACAAGGTTTAGACACAATATTTGAACATAATAATATATCATTTGAACAGAGCCCCCCAAGGCGCTCCCACGCTTGGTGATAAACGGAAAGTCTTACAATGGAAGCGGACTTGCCAGTGAAGCCATCCGTAACGGGGACACTGTCGTGGTGTCATGCACCATCGACGGGGGAGTGCCCGCGGTCTCTGACGTCACTCTCACGTGCCCCGGCCAAACGCTGACGTCGCGAGGAAACTCCGTCCAGCTGACGACCTTCAGGGCTAGAAGGCCCCTAAGCGGTCAGAGCTGCTTGTGCAGTGCTAACCACGTGACCGGATGCTACAGCGGGAGAACGGACGTTGTCCTCAACGTGGGAGGTAATTGGATGTATATCAATAAATAGTTCTGTAGGTCTTTACAAAAATTGAGCATTAAGTTCAAGGTCGTGATTCAACCACACCCTTACGCAGCTAAGTTCATAGGTAAGATCAACAAATGGACACAATCAGCCGCCAACAGTTGGCAACCACCGAATTGATTTGCAACTTTTCAGGAAATATCAACCAAGCAAAATTATTCAAGAAGGTAAAACAATCAATGAACGTGTTGGCACCAACAAAAAAGCATTTCTTTCCCTTTGGCCGTGTCCATGAGAAACTTGCAAAAATGATGTGGTCCCTGGCCTCCGCTGCCTTAAGGTGTCAACTGGTTGCTTCAAGAACAGTTATAACTTGATGACTGTACATTAACCAAAAAGTTGTAAAATAATATATACCTAGATTGTTCAATAACGTTGAGTACGTGTTTTGTTTCATTGAAAAAAAAATTGATTTATTGTCTATGCACTGGACAAAAGAAACGTAATAGCTATTTAGAGCCAAGTCAATTAAAATAGTTTATTAAAATTGTATGCTTAAAATTGCTCTTAATGATATTCCAGTATAAAAGGAGCACAGACTTGGGACGACTTCGGAAAACAAAGAATATGGCGTACTTTATGTGTACTTATTTCCTAACCTGGTTTCTTTAATATAACTGAAACAAGTGGTAATGTATAATTCGATTTTAAGAATTGAAATTGTGCTTTAAATAAATATTTTTTTTAAATTCCTCAAGACTACAGTTATATTAGAAAAATCTTTTTTTTTTCTTACATGAAAGAAAATGCTATTGAAATGCAAATAAATGAACAACTCCAAAGATGAGTCATGTATTGGATAATTTTTTATTAATTTGTTTTGAAACATTAATGACAGTATGTTACATTAAATGCATACAACACATACGATGGATGTGTCATGGGTAATCTCGCGTGTGTGTGTTGACAGATTGAGATACAATGGGAATACAAAACACAAGGCAATCTGATGACCGTCGCGAGGGTGGGGGTTGTATAGTGGCATATCACATTGAAAATGGGGACAATTTTAGACAGGTATGACAAGGCAATCTGGGGGGGGGAAGAGGGCAAAGTAATCTGATGACCGTCGCGAGGGTGGGGGTTGTATAGTGGCATATCACATTGAAAATGGGGACAATTTTAGACAGGTATGACAAGGCAATCTGGGGGGGGGGGGAAGAGGGCAAAGGAGAGAATCAGTATTTTACAAGCGTGATTCAGATTAGACTGGTAACTTGTTATTGGCATCCTTCCTCTTGGTGAGATGTTGGTGTAGTGCAGCTTCTGTAAGACGATGGTGTAGTTTATGTGATCCGAAGTGCAGCGTCTATAAGATGACGGTGTAAATTCTGTAAGAGGATGATGAGCTTCTGTGAGACAGTGCTGTACCTCCTGTGAGACGATGGTGTAGCTTCCTTCAGACGATGATGTAGCTTCCTTCAGACGATGATGTAGCTTCCTTCAGACGATGATGTAGCTTCCTTCAGACGATGATGTAGCTTCCTTCAGACGATGATGTAGCTTCAATGAGACGATGGTGTTGCTTTCTTCAGACGATGATGTAGCTTCTTTGAGACTGTGGTGTAGCTTGCTTCAGACAATGTTGTAACTTCTGTGAGACGATGATGTAGCTTCCTTCAGACGACGTTGTAGCTTTTTGAGACATTGGTTTAGCTTATAGGAAATAAGACTTGTAAAATAAACTGACTGTTCAATGTGTGTCACAAATGAATTACAAAATGGAATTCATGAAACTAGATTAAATAGTGTCTGAAATAATTTTTTTTTAAAAATACAATGACTAAAACATTAGTCTTAAGTTAAAATTGTAATTTCTAGTGGCAGCTCTTTTCACATAATAATTGAATATTATGTGCTGGTGGCATTCAATAGTTTCCAAGAAAACCTTTTCTTTTATTTTGTTGTGCTTTTCACATATGAAAACGCTACTGGAATATTTCCTCTATGGAGTTATGTTTGAGGCGTCAGAAACCAAATTTAAATAAGATAAGCCAGTTATTTTTTATAAGCATTAGCCTCTGAACTTTTCAAAACTATCCCATCTAATTCTATTGTATTTTTTTCTATGCAAGAGAAGAACAAAAATTTATTACTGTCTATAGTTTCTTCAAATGATAAATTTTAACAACCAAGTTTTACAGAATAATACAAATTGATGAAATATAATGACACAAATTTATAGTAAATACATAAAAATTTTAACCGACAAAACCAGTCAAAACTGTAGTGAATTTTAAAATGTGAATAATAAGTTATAATTCAAGTGAATAGATAACAATTTATTTTTTAATATACAAAAAATGAACACTTTTTCTTCCTTTCGGATACTAGTTAGTTCCCTTTGTCACAAAAACAACAACCTAGTGATCGAGAGAATTATAAGGTATGATTTTTTTTCTTTTTTGTAATATAATATTCATTTAAATAATTTCTGATATTAAATTCTCATATTTTTTTTATATGCTATGGTAAATGGGTCCTATAAATATATAAATTAAATAATATTATATTTTTTATTATAATGCAGTTATAATCATCCATACAATTGATAACTTGAATGCATTGCTAGAAATGTGATAAGTCTAGTTCCAGTAAAGCAATGTGCTAACAAGAAACAATATATCAATTCCTTTTTAGACTCTACAAAAATTTTCCTCAGCCCAAACAATATATCAGTTCCTTTTTTTGACGCAATAAAAGATAAGCTAAACAAATATTTAGAATCAAAATTGAAATTGTTTAGTTTCTCCCACGAGGAGTTCAACAAAAAAAAAATGGAGATAGTGATTGACATATTAGTTAATATCTTTGGCTTAGATGATGTGAATGCTCATCAAGCTTTATTATGCCTTGCTCAGAGGAGCTAACTTTGGTTATATGATTTTAACTATCCTGTACACATGATGCATTGGTTGTATATATTAATTAATTTGGTTGAGGAAATATTTTTTTAAATACATATATAAGGGGAGAGTTAGCTCACATCCAGCGTTGAAGAATACGGCTGATGAGCAATTGATGCATTCAATTCACATGTTGATAAACTACATAAATATTAAGACTAATGCACCAACGAGTACTGACATTAAATATAGTCCAAACATTTAAAATCACTGGGTAATTAAGTATGCACTGATTTTTATCAAATTTGCACTGAGGCCATAGCATTATTAGTTTCAGGAGAAGCAGTCCCTCATATTAACTATATATAAATGTGAAGCTAAATTTTGAGTATAACTACAAAAAGGCAGAGAAAAAACAGAAAAATACAAAAATGAACTAAATTTAAGAAGAAATAAAGATTTTTATCTCTGAATCAATGAGAATAAAGTTTGTGAATGAATGAACAACCAAGATGCATGCAGTAATATAACATATTGAAGTGTCCAAATATGCTTTACTTGTAATAATTTTTTCTAGGGACTCAATCTTTGCTAAATCAATTACATTTACAATAATCTACTGGCATAAAAAGCTGCCTACTTTTTAGCTCTGATAATTTTTGTTGTTGTTAAACCTGAATCTGGAGAATATATGTTTTTGTAATAAATAATATTTAAGATAATTGTTCAATGTACTCTTAATAGTGTAATTGGAATCTAAGTGTGCATAAGCTATTTAATATAAAGACTATAAAATATTACTAAGAAGTATTTTTAAAATTTAAATCTGACTGATTAAACAAAAAAAAAAGCAGTGCACAATGGCTTTAAAAAAAAAAAAATTAAGATACAAAATTGTTTATACAACAAAAAAAAAAAATTAATAAATAAAAAAAAAAAATAAAATATAAAATAAAAAAAAAAAAAAATAAAGACTAAAAAATATTACTAAGAAGTATTTTTAAAATTTAAATCTGACTGATTAAACAAAAAAAAAAGCAGTGCACAATGGCTTTAAAAAAAAAAAATTAAGATACAAAATTGTTTATACAACAAAAGGAAACAATTCCTAAATAATAATAATACATTAAGTTTCTATTATAAAGACAGAAAAATATTGCAAAGTAGTATTTTTAAATTCAAGTCTTACTGATTAAAAATAAAAGAAAATATTTAAAATAATGTGTTCAATGGCACTTTTAAAAATAAAGACAATGTGTGATAAAAACATTGTGTATACAATAACAGAAAAACAATCCATTTATAACACATAAACTATTTTACAACAAATTGACCCATTTTAGATTTCGGGCCAGGTATAACTTTCGCAGTTCAATATTCAAAGCGGGGTTTGGAGTAACAAGTAATCTTTTCGCCAAGTCTTAAGGTAACGACACTTTCATTGATAAGCTGACACTTTGACACATTTGAAGAGTTGACACTTTTCGAAAACATTTCGATATTTTAAAAGTTATTCTTGATGATGAAAATTTTCAAACACATGAACAAATTGATTAATTGTAGTTTTCAAGCAAATTTCAAGCAATTTAGCTTAAAGTTATGCACATAAAATTATTGTTAACAAAGTCTGAAAGTAATCAATATAGAAATTGACATGCACGTGTTGCACATCTTTAAATCTTCAATTAAACATGCATTTATTAACATGCAGCAATACTTATTTAAAACTCACCTGGTAAGAGAAATAATTAAAACTTTTGTTTTTCCACACAAGAAGTATAATAATTACATAATTCTCCTGTGCTCTGTACAGAGTAAATCTCTTCTCTTTATCACTTCACACATTACAGAATATTTATTTTTATATGCATCATGTACAATGTCGAGCATATTTTGATTGATTTTTCTGAATCGAAATTTAAAAAAAAAATTACTAAATTGTGTAAATTGAAATAAGGAATAATGTATGTGCTTACATTCTGAGAAATTTTTTTCTTCACACAAAAAAACCCCCACTAAAAATGCGAAAAAAATAAAAAAAATTTTACATTGTAACAAATTATTATTGGGAGACATTTTTTTATAATCAATCCAATTGATATTACTATCCTGATCATAATCAGCAAATACATAATTCTTTATGTCAATGCCACTAACACTATAAGTTAGCGCCGATTTCACTTAATAAAATTCCCGATAACTGCGCTACATGAGATCTTAACAAAACGTTCGTTTGGTGAGCATTAATTTCTTTTGTTTTATGCAAAATGTCTCTACATAGGCCTAAGTGTGGAGTTAAAAATCTGCGGTATAAAAGGGGCTGCGAAATTAGAATATTAATACAGTTCATGGGCTCTAGTGTACCGAGGGGGGTGTTCGGTAGCATCAATTGGTAATCTATTAAGTACGTTACTTGAACGCGTGTTGTATGCAGTAACTTTAGTATTTATTGGAAAGCTCACTCATTTCCGCCGCCATTATTTGGAGGGATATCTATTTTTACACTTTGTTATACATTTTTCAAAAAAAAATTTTAACAAAATTTTAAAAAGAAGAAGAAAAATTGAAATCCAATGGAAAAAAATTGATTAAAATGTCGATCATCCACAGACCCTTACAATAATATCCCATAAGCGTCACATTTGGAGCAATGCGATAAGGTTGAAGCAATATGAAGTATAACATAGAAAATAGTGGAACACCTCACGACCAAATATCTAAACAACGAACGTTTCAAATAAGAAGTCTTCAGCAGCAGACGAAGAAGGACATGAGGATAAACTGAGCTGATTGAAGTTTAGCATACCTTCAGTTTTCTATCGTGATACCTGAGGTCTTTACTAACGTTAGAGTCTGAAGTCTTTAGCCTACTAACTTTAGAGTCTGAGGTCTTCACTAACGTTGGAGTCTGAGGTCTTTACTAACGTTAGAGTCTGAGGTCTTTAGTCTACTAACGTTAGAGTCTGAGGTCTTTACT